TCCGGCGCCCACGACCATGCTCCACAGTGGGGAGGCAGGAATCCCGGCGCCCAGCGACCCCCGGATACCCTCTCCTGGGCCGGGCTGGTGTTGAAATCAAGGCGTCCAGGATCAAAAGATCACCGCCTGCCTGCCCTCTCCGCACCCCCAGCTGACGAGCAGGAAGACCCCCAACCCACCCACCGACCCCGACCTGGTCATGGCGTCCAGATCCGGCCTGGTGTGAGGACCCCCGACCCGCGGCGAGGTGAGGGATGGGCTGGGGGCGAGGGCGAAAGTCATGTCAGACCAGCAGGAGCGCGAGAGGGGAGATCCAGTTTGAATTGGGGAGGGGAAACACAGTCTGATTGTCTACTACCCTCTGGCACGCAGCCCCAGGCCGTTTAGGGGAAAGGGATACCCGCAGGGTCAATGGAGGCTACGTTTAGGCCCCCAGTCTGGTTGGCAGCCCCAGAGCACTGGCAGAAGGGCTTAGGGGCAGCCAGGGGACCCTGCCACCCTATCGCAGAGAACAAGGCCGGCCTTGGGCCAGCTGGAGCAGCGAACCCTGCCCTGGGGGCTTCTGGGAGATGTAGTCCCCCTCTCAGGCTCACCAGAATAGTGGGTGCCAGTACCCCAGCACTCCTTCCTTGGCTGATGAGACCTCCAGAAGGAGGTGGATAGGAACTGAGGAGAGCTGGGGTCACCCTCTGCCTGCAGGCACTGCTTTTGAGTAGTAGGAGTGAGTGGAGGAGGCTCCCCTGCCAAGGCTTGAGTACTGTAGTCTTGGCAAGGGGGTGGGGAGGTGGGGCAGCCACACAGTTCCTTGGAGATGTCCCTGCAGAAGGGGATGGCTCCTGTCTTGGTCCAAAGGAACCCTTGTGGGAAGTATGTGAGGAAGAGAGATGAGACTGAAGCCTTCTGGCTGCCTGGCATATATGCTACCCCAGGGCTACTGGAATTTGTTTTCTGGAGAGATGAAAGTCTGTTCTCCCCTTCTCCCTTTGGCAGAGGGTGCAGGGTGGGGGGGGATGGCTGAGAAAGAAAATGTCCCTAAAAGTCTGGGAGCCTAGACGGTGTCTCTTGAGCAGTGAAATCAGGATCAGCTTCAGTCTGTCTGTCCAGCTTCCTTCCTTCCGGGTTTTTCTGACATCCCCTGCCTCCCTCCTCCTTCTCTCAGTCTGCTGCTTGGGGTGTGTGTCTATGTCCCCTGGGGATGGGGGGCTCTGCTTCAGGAGGGAAAGTTGTTCTGAGAGGTGAGCTGGGCCCCTGTCTGAGCCCTGGGAAAGGAGTTCCATTGCCTCTTGATCTTTTGCCCACCCTTCCTTCCTCCCAGCTTCGGGGACTGCCTTACCTGGGAGGGTTTTCTGTGCTATCTATAACCAAGGTGCCTCTGAGCACCTTTTCTGCAGAAGACCTGGTGGGGCGTCTGCCATTCTCCCCCTCTCCTCATCCTCTCCAGGGAGCAGCTACTTTCTTGGGTCAGGAGTTCCTCTACTGCTCCCCAGCACAGGCTTGGCTGCCTTCTGTGGGTCAGGACCACGATTTCATGGCCCCAGGGGAAGAGCCTGCTCAGGCCCTGTCTTCCAGGTGTCAGCTATAGGGCCCCTGCTGACAGAAGCGTTAGGACCTGGGGAGAATGGAAGCTGAGGGGCAGGGAGGGAGGCCGGGATCCAGAATCAGAAAGAAAACACTGCTTCCCCATCTGATCCGCCTCCTTGGCTTCAGAGGACCAGGCCTGGAAGGCCAGTGTCCTCTGTATCTTCCTTTCTGCTAATTGTGTTGCTCTTCATTGAGGTGAGGTGGGGGTTCATGTTGGGAGGGGTGAAGGGTAGAAAGTAATCTTGCATCCAAAGAGACTTTTGTGCCCCAGGGTAGCAGGGTCTCTGGGCTAGGGGTGGGCTCTGGAGGCCCACATGGAGGCTCAGAATGAGTTTATACTACAGAGTCCAGAGAAGGGGCAGATTATTATAGGTTTCTAGAGAACAATTTGCAGGCCACAGAAATCTGGGACACGCCCATCATTGGTAATTTGGGACCTAGTGATCTTGCCTGTTGAAAATGCACTGGGCACCTATGACCCCACTTCAGACTCCTGGTACCTGGCTTAAGCAGCAGCCTAGGCTGGGGACTGAACTTCTTTAACCAGGCAGGGCAGTACCCTTCTGGGCAGAGGCCTAGCGGGTGGCAGTGCCGACTCAGCAAGGGCTGGAATGCCTGGCACCTGCTTTAGATTAAAGGAGATGCCCTGTAAAGGGGGGCTGCCTGTCCATGTGGGGACCCATGACTGGGATGGAGCTCCAGGGAGCCCAGGAGTGTGGTGAGAGGAAAGCACTAGGGTTGTGAGTGGCAGCAGCTCTGGCAAGACTGGAGGGAAACAATCATCACCCAGACCTGCAGCCTCTCCTCCAGGGAGTCTAAGAAGAGGAGCTGGGGGCGCCTCCATACTGCCTCTGGCGCCAGCACTGCAGGCTGAAGTTCTGTCCCAGCGCCTTAGGGCAGTTTAAGGGAGCCAGGGTGTCTGTGTCCAGTTTTCCCAGGATCAAAAGAGGCCTGCAAGGAGGGAGCAATTTGGAGTTCCTGCTGCCCTGATGTCATGATTATTCTTCCTGGGGCTCTTTAGTGGCAGATAGTGAGGTACCTCAAGAGCCTGGGCACCCAAGGGTGACAGGGAAATGGCATCCTTTGCTTCCTTGTACTGGAGTGCTGGGCACTGCCCAGTGTGTTGACCCGGGGGGAGGAGACAGAGGGGGCATGGCACCGTGGGAAAGTGGGCAGCCGTGGGAGCAAAGAGGGTACAGGTTGGGTGCCTTGGGCAGGGAGCCTCTGCCAGGTCCGCTCTCCCTGGGGTGGGGCCACTGTTCCAGGGACTGGCTCAACCTGTTGAGCACCTAGCTGTTCTAGCTTGGCATTTGTGCCCCTGCCTTCCAGCCCCAACAGCTGCCCACCCATAGCCACATGGGGTAGTGGGCTTTGCTCCCAGAGACCTGGGG